GTCCCTCCGCCGCCCCAGCCCGGCCGCCCCGCCGCCTCGCGTACCGAATCTGAGCCGTGGTCCTGCAGAAACTTGATAATGTCCTTCTTGGGCAGCTGCTCGCTGCGCAGCTGCTCCACGGTCCACGCCCGCTGTGGCACGACCGCCGCCATCTTCCCCCGCCGCCTCGGCCTCACTGAGCCTGCCCGCCTCGCTCCGGCCTCACCCCGCCCCCGGGGGCGCGGCGTGAACCCTCGCGGCGGCCGAGGGGCGGAGCCACCACCCGCCGGCGGGGGCGGGGCCTGGGCGGGATGACGTCACGGCCGTGCGGGGCGGGCTTCGTGGGGGAGTCCCGGCGAGAAACCCCAAGAGGTGGCCCCGGCCGCCGACCGCGCTGAAGACTGCTAGACATCGTCCCCTCTCGTTGGTCTCCTTATGATGCGATCTCTGATGGGAGGGATGTTTGCCAGCCGGCACTCCTGCCTGTTACCTACAGGCTGCTGTGTCCTTAAAGGTCTAGTCTGTAACCCGCTTAAAGAAAACAACAGCCTTCAGACCCCTAATCTCATTTTGCCTCGTTCCAGCCTAAAAGTTTATACCTGAATTGACTCAGTCCCTGTTCATCCATATTCTACTATCCAAAAAGGAGATAGTAGAATAATCCATATCCTATCTCCTTTTTGTTATTATTATTTTTAGAGTCGGAGTCTTGCTCTGTTGCCCAGGCTGGGGTGCAGTGGCAGGATCACACCCGCCGCAGCCTCCATCTGCTGGGTTAGGTGATCCTTCTGCCTCAGCTTTCCAAGTAGCTGGGACTACAGGTGTGTGCCACCACGTCCGGCTAATTTTTTTTATTTATTGTAGAGATGAGGTCTCACCAAGTTGTCCAGGCTGGTCTCGAACCACTGGACTCAGGCAGTCCTCTCGCTCAGTTTCCCAAAGTGCTGGAATTACAGGCGTGAGCCGCTGCACCCGGCCTACGATCTCCCTTTTAAAGATCACATAGCCAAAGCTTAAATACAAATTGCTCCTTCCCCTTCCGCCATACAAATATGAGAAACAGTTCATCTAAAACCAAGTTCAGAAACTAGAACAAAAAATAATATAAAGAAGCAGCACTCAGGATACTGCTTGCTGATGGTGATGAGGATAGCATTATTCAAGCACACAGCAACATGTGTGTTTTTCCCCAGGACATGAAGAAACACAGGTACAGCGGTTCCTCAAAGTCATCAGGATTAGAGTGGAGAAGCCAGGAATTGCCTGAGGTAGAAAGCTATTGCTAGAGTGGCATAATTGTACACTCATGTTTACTGCTCTTATCTGTAATAAAGATATCATAGTGGAACATCTGAGCTCCTTACCATTAAACAAAATACTTTAGAAAATAACAGAACCAGACCACATGAACTTGCCTTTAGACAATAAAAGTATTAAAATGATGGGTTGCTACTATTAACATGGTGAAAAAGAGACTTGGCATTTTATTTTCTCAGCCTAGATGGAGAAATAAAACAAGTTATTTTATCTTCTGATTTTAAAATACAACCAACAAGGAATAAGTCATGTTAGACGCTCAAAATAACATTAAGTTCACAAAACTATGGTGTATTCCATTGTCTCCTAGATCTTAAGTTTGTTTATTATTTTGTTACTGGGAGACCAGCAATATGTCCTTGGTTCTTGTCTCCTTGGAAGAAAGAATTCAGTCAAGAGATAGAGGAGTGAAGCAGAGGAAAAGTTTATTTCGAACAAGTAATTATATGTATATACACAAACACACACACACACACACACACACACACACACACACACACACACACACACATTAATTTAAATATGTATGTATTTAAATTGAGACGAGGTCTTGCTGTGCTGCCCAGGCTGGTCTCAAACTCCTGGGCTCAAGCAGTCCTCTTGGCTTGGCCTCCCAAAACGCTGGGATTACAGGCATGAGTCACCACACTTGACCTCAAACAAGCAAAAGTACACTCAGAAAGAGTATGGTATGGGCTGACCCAGCTGGGAACAACCATGAAGTTGGCTGCATTGTGTCCTCTTACATCATTCTTCTTCCTCCTTTGGGTGTCCACCTTGTTTCCTCTTTACTACTCCTTGTCTCTACCCAGAGTTGGGGCTTTAATGTAATCATATGCTTAGCACATGTGCTGGGTTTGGTAATCAATACAAAATCCTACCTAATGGCAGGGATGCTCATTACTGCCATCCCAGGAAGGTCATATAGGGGTCAAAGTGGTTTTTCAGGGCACCTGCACAAATCCAGGGAGTTTCCTTTTGTTCTTTTTATTATTTTTTTTTTTTGAGTTGGAGTCTCACTCTGTTGCCCAGGTTGGAATGCAGTGGCACGTTCATGGCCACCGAAACCTCAACCTGCTTGGCTCAGGCAATCCTTCTTCCTCAGCCTTCCAAGTAGCTGGAACTACAGACGCGCGCCACCATGCCCTGCTAGTTTTTTGATTTATTATGGAGCTGAGGTCTCACCAAGTTGCTCAGGCTGATCTCGAACCCCTGGACTCAGGCAATACTCTCGCCTTGGCCTCCCAAAGTGCTGGGATTACAGGCTTGAGTCACCGCGCCTGGCCTCTTTTTGTTCTTATTTCTCCTTTTTCTATGATTGACCACAAACTGACTGTGGTGGTCCCAAAATGAGTGATTACTGGGAATTCCTAGGGTGTTCCTCACATGGTTAGCTCCCTCCAGGGTCTTCCCTTTAGCCTACTCAGGTCTAACTAACTGCCTGTCTAGTCTAACATTCTCCCCTCAAGGAGTTAGGACCCTGAAATATTTTGGGCAGAAGGGATGATAGTCATTCTTCTGTAGCTACTTCCTGCTGAAAAGGGACACCGATGGTTGTCAGGGCCCCTCCTCCTCGCTGGCTGTCAAGTCAAGAAGATCTTGGGGTTTGCAATTGTTTCCCAAAAGCCTTGGTCAGTGGCATCCCAAGGGCAAAAAATAGGAAGTGGGTCGTTCAGTGATGTTAGACACGGGCTGGTGTCCTTGTTGTAAATCATTTGGAATTTGATGACTTCTAAATGGGAAGAAAGAAATTTAGATGGTAAATTTCATAAGCCAGGCCCAAAAAGGAAGACGAAGATAGAGGCCAGAGGCCAGAGGCCCCAGGAAAGGGAGGAGCCATGAGAATCAGGACCAGGTGCATCCTTGGAGAGCCAACCCTTAGTAGTCTGCTTCTGAAGACAAGAGGCCTGGTCTGTAAGGTTTCGCATGTGTTCCTGTACCTGTCTCAATCTGTTAACCCCCAAGCAGCATTCCTCTCCAAGCATGAGACAGATTCCCACTTGGGGTGTAGCCAGCATATCAAAACCCCTACGATTTTGGATAGCCACAGCTGAGAGAGAATCGACTTGTCCTTGTAACCCTGTTATAGCTAGAGCAGTGGACTCTGTTTCCTGAGCTAATTCTAGAAATAAGGGTTGAGAAGGCAGTAACAGCGTTAGCTATTCCTGTAGCAGCACTGCAGTGATGCCAAGCTCAGTGAGGACAGGAATCAGCTGAATTGCTTGTTGGGCCCACTGTGGGCAGTTGAGGCAAGGGTACGGGTACATCACCTAGGGCAGAGGTTCTCAAGCTCTTAAAACAGGGGGCCAGTTCACTGTCCCTCAGACAGTCGGAGGGGTGGTTAAAAAAAAAAACTATGAACAAATTCCTATGCACACTGCACATATCTTATTTTGAAGTGAAAAAACAAAATGGGAACAAATACAATATTTAAAATGAAGAACAAGTAAAGTTAAATCAGCAAACTTACCAGTATTTCAATGGGAACTATGGGCCTGCTTTTGGCTAATGAGATGGTCAATGTCCAGTTCCGTATTTGTCACTGCTAGTCGTAACAAGTGATGCAAGTGTGTATCAGTTAGTCTAGATCTGGTTGGAGATTTCAGATGTTTCATTCTGGAAAAAGTCTGTTCACGGACATAAGTGCCGCCAAAGATGGTTGCCATTTTGAGTGCATGGTTCCTGAGATCAGGATATGTCTCAGAGGGGAGAGATGCATAGAAATTAGGAAGGCTGCTTGACTTGAATGCGTCTTTCAGAGAGTCATAATTCTACAGTTCAGTCAGTTCCATTTGGTAAATTGTATCCATATTTTCAATGTCAATAGAAAATGGGTTACGGAAAAACTGTATGTCCTGTTCATGGAGATGAAGCTCTTTAAATCTAAATTGGAACTCCTTTTGCAACTTTTCCAGTGAATCCACACAAGTTTTGTTTGGGAATGCAACCAGTGGTTTTTCCGCTAACAGATTTTGAGTTGTGGGAAGATGACAGAAGTTTTCCTCCTTCACTTGTTTGATGAGGAGGCCTAATTTTACTTCAAATGCTTTCACATGTGATTGCATGTCACAGATGAGCTTCCCCTTTCCTTGAAGTTGCACATTGAAACTGTTGAGTAGCTCTGTTACTTCTGTCAGAAAGGCAAGGTGCCATTTCCATTCTGCATCATTGAGCTCTGGTACTTCTTTGTTTTTTGAAAGCAGAAAAGCTGTAATCTGTGGAAGTCATAGAAATGTTTCAAAACTCTCCCTCGACTCAGCCAACGGACTTCTGTGTGGTACAGAACATCTTCATAGGCAACATTTAGCTCAGACAGAAGTTCCTGAAATTGTCTGTGGTTTAGTGCATTAGCTCTAATGAAGTTAACACAAGATACCACAATTTTCATAACAGAGTCCCACTTCAGTGATTTACTACACAGCGCTTGTTGGTGGATGAGGCAGTGTATGCCTATTGGATGAGAATGGTTATGTTTGCCCATCTCTTGGTTAATGCGAGCAATTACTCCTTTCTTAGACCCCACCATGCTAGCAGCACCATCAGTTGTCATGCTGGCTAGTTTAGCCCAGTCCAGCTCCAAACCACTCACAGTTTGGCAAACCTTTTCATAGATATCCCCTCCTGTAGTTGTTCCTTTGATGCTTTGCAGTGCAGCAAGCTCTTGTGTGACTTTGAAATGTCATTCGTCCCTCGAATAAAAATTAGAAGTTGTGCAGAATCACGAACATCATTGCTTTCGTCGAGTGCCAAGGAAAAATAGGAAAGTTTTTTTGCGGAGTTTTGCAAATGCTGATGCAAATTGTCTCCCATTTCTTCAATCCCTTGTGTAATTGTAGGTCCTGAAAGACTCACTGTACTAAATAAATCAGCCTTCTCTGGACACATCTCTTTGGCAACAGAAAGAAGGCATTCTTTAACAAATT